ATGGTGGCGCGTGCCTGTAGTCCCAGCTACTCGGGAGGCTGAGGCAGAAGGATCGCATGAGCCCAGGAGTTTGAGGTTGCTGTGAGCTAGGATGACGCCACGGCACTCTAGCCAGGGCAACAGAGTGAGACTGTCTCAAAAAAAAAAAAAAAGTGCACATCGCAATAAAGCAAGTCCCATACACAAAAAATGTGCAGTTTTCTTGCAAATGTATACTTGTGAGATAGCATTTCTAAAATTCTGATATTTGAGAAGAAATTACAGAAGCTAATTTCCTGTGGCTCTACAGGGATTTCCTATTCTCGATACAAGTTTACTTTCAAAATAATGAACTAATAAAATCCACATCTGAAAACAAGCTTAATACCCTCAGAACAGATACAGCAATAATGTTAACCTTTGCCCAACGTCTACTTTATAATTACCGTAGCAGCCACCATTTATGAGCTGACCATATTGCCAGGTACTTTAAATAGGCACTTTTCATATAAAAGCTCAATTAATAGTCCAAACAACTCCTAAGACAGTATCCCTCATTTTCCAGAAAAGAAAACAGACTCAGGTAAGTTAAGGAACATGAACATAATCTTTCCTTCTCAACTAGTATTTCACTGAAAGTCATCTTCAAGTATAAACAGTAATGCAACTGCTATAAAATGAGGTGTATGTGATTTCCCCTGCAAAAGACAGGTAATTAAGTTCTATTAATATTACTTGCAGCAAGGCACACTGCCACTAGAAACCAGACTGGAGGTCAACATAACCCTGTTGGCTCTTGATCAACATACTCTCATATTAGGAGATTCCAAAGCCATCTCTGCAGACGTTCTGTTGCTTTCAAATGTGGGATGGCCTTTTGCAGTAAGCTATAGGAAAACTAATAAGGCAGAATTCCTGGAAGTATCCATTTCCTTTGTAGGAGAGTCTAATATTTGGTGGTGCAGTGCTGCCACCATGTGGGGCAGGCTCTCAAAAAGCAGAACAAAGTCAGTCATCAAGAGCAGCAAAATAAGGACTCACATCTATCACTGGAGTAAGATTGAGAAGATTTCCATAATAAAGCAGTTTTCAGATAAAGATTTTTTTTTTTCTGGAGACAGAGTCTCACTCTGTTGCCTGGGCTAGAGTGCCGTGGTGTTATCATACCTGACAGCAACCTCAAACTCCTGGGCTCAAGCGATCCTCCTGCCTCAGCCTCCCGAGTAGCTGGGACTACAGGCATGCGCCACCATGTCCGGCTAATTTTTTCTATATATTTTTAGTTGTCCAGATAATTTCTTTCTATTTTTAGTAGGGCGGGGGTCTCGCTCTTGCTCAGGCTGGTCTCGAACTCCTGAGCTTGAGTGATCCACCCGCCTTGGCCTCCCAGAGTGCTAGGATTACAGGCGTGAGCCACCGTGCCGGGCCAGATAAAGGTCTTTATGTGTTCAGAATTGTAACCATTTTGAGAAAATGAAACAGTTCTAGATGTGTGTGTGTACATATAAGACATTTAAATTCTATTGTGTACATATAAGACATTTAAATTCTATTGTATACATTCATCCACGAAGTAGTGACCAGCAATGGGTTTGGGGACTCAGAACTGCATTAGAATCCTGGCTACATTACTACTGGCTGCACGACTTTATGAAGAGTTCTTTAGTCTGAGTGCATGGTTCCTCAACTGTAACATGGAATAACCTCTACTTCACAGGGCAGATCTGAGAACTAAGTGAAGCATTATACATAAAGCCATCAACCTTTGTGCATGGCATAGAAGGCCCTTAAATTTAAAATTCTCTTTTCCATCATAAGCCTTAGGAACTTGTGAGGTGGTTTGAGCCATCAGCAGCATTTGACCCCCACTGATAAAAGGAGTGTTCTAACTACAGTTGTAATACTTTAAGGTAAAAAGTAGGGCACAGAGTTGAGATGAAAAGTATGGATTCAAGATAAAAAGTAGGTATGTGTCTACGTGTGTTGGCTATCTCTTAAGTCCAACGGTTTGAGTGGGAGTATGTATAACAAGGCCAAGACTAGAGTAAAGCAAGTGAGGCACACCAGACTTAAAATTTAAGGAGGCACCCTGTTCTCAGACTTGTGCAGGTACAGAGCCAAGACCTGAGAGGCAGTGCCTCCTTAAATTTTACTCTCGGAGGACCTCTCTAGCAATAAATTGGACAGTATCAGAGAAAAGTTCTGCTACTGAGTCTGTCAAGAATACAGAAGGCAGTATTAAGAGGGCAGTAGGTCCAACAATTTGATATCTAATGCCGATACCCTGCTCTATGAAAATCTGCAATAGACAACAAAACGAGGCATTCCTAAAACAGTTTCTCGAAAATCTACTAGGTAGCCTTAAATGTTCTCTAAAAGTCTCCTCAAAGATACTTGTAGAAATCTCCCCAAATCGACCTCTTGATTTGTTATAGTAAAACAGCTTAAGAATTAGGAGCATTATACAGTTTACTATAATATTATGATATAATAAATTCAAATAAGATTTAATGTATCATAATATTCATGTGTGATCTGTTCAAAATTAGATAAAGCTAGGGGATAGGGAAAGAAAATAAGTAAAACAAAACTGGCATGTACTGATAATTATTAAATCTAATAATAATAAGTGGATCCATTTATTTGTTAAATCCATGTATTCCCTCTAATTATGAATGTTTGAAGATTCCCATAATAAAAACCATAATTAAATAAATAGCATACACATGTAATACTTGAGTACTATGGACTGAATGAAAATCAGCCCTCTCCCCTGAATAAATGAGACAAACTAGCTTGTTTTCTGGTATCTTTCTATTCTTCTCAATTGATGTGGAAAAAGATCTCTAAGTCTGACTAGAACACACACACAAAATGCCTTTATTGCTCAAACCCTCCATTAGTCCTTATCCCTGACCATCTAATTTTATAGGTTCTGTACTGAATTTATATGAGCGTAGAGATGACTTTTTCCACTCAAACTGGAGTTGCCCATGAGTTAGAACTCATTTTCACCTTGATCCATTCCACATTCTTAGCACCACTAAACATTTAATAAGTTTCCACTGAGCACATGATATTCTGCTCATCTGGTTGGCACTTCCAGCCCAAACACTTTTCATCTCCTCTATTGTCCTCAGGTAGAGAACTATAAAGATAGTTGCTCAAAACAACAGAGTGAATTAAAGGCAATGCCAACAACATAAGTTGGTACCAGCTAAGTGTTTTATAACACAGACACCATTGCCTTACAAACTTATTTCTTTATGGAATGAAAAAAAGTTGCCACATGGTACTACCTGGGGAAAAAAGGGCAAGGTTGAATCTTCTAATACTGAGGGTGATACCTTGTCAGAAGTCAAGGTTTAAGCACTTGCATGTTCAGTCCCACTCCTATGCCTCGGAGGTAGCTGAAAGACTCCTGATGGTAGTACTGTAAGTACCTTAAAAAATGTGACTTGCTTCATCCTTTGGCCTTAACACTAATTTTAAAGGATAATAAACAGAAGCCCAGGCTACACGTAAAATAAGATGAACCAAACAAGATGTCAAAGCAGAGATCTGAGCAGGTGATTTGCAAGTGAGAGACGGTATCTATTTCTAGGCAAATTCCAACTTTATATTTGAAAAAGTTCAACAATATTCAGAGGTTATACCCTGATTAACTCTTAGTATTACTCACCTTCAGATAAATACTGCATTAGACAAAAAGGGAAGCACTTTAAAGAAAGCAGCTATATTCCTCCATCTTCTTGGTAACAGTACTTACCAGTCAAATGTACTCAATTTGAATGAGTTTCAGTTACTAGCAGAGTCAATGTATCACTTGGGACTTGACCCACTTCATTATATAAGCAGAGTTAAAAAGTCAGCAAGGGAAACAAAAGATCCCAAAACTTTAAGGTGTTAAGCTATGTTCTGGCTGCTAAACACTTAGAACATACTCTAGTTGGCTAAAAAGAATCTTGTCCTAGAATTCTGTAAAAGAAAATGCGTTACAATAACTAGGCAATAAAGATCACCTTGATTCAGATTCTGTTTCCACACCACCAGAAAATACCACAAACATCTGAAGAAATAATATTAAGACAAATAGTATATACATATAAAAATGTAAGGTAAAACCTCCTGAAGACAATGATGAAAGTACTGGGTTTTTTATGAACAAATACAGGGGTAGGCACAATACAAAGGTTTGCTTTAAGATCTTTGTATTTCAGTACTTTGTTCTCAATTCAAAAACACCTAGGGTGTGAGATATACGATCTGTGTGACACAGAAAGTCATGTTTCCCACAGCTACCCTGTAGCTCAATGTCCCAAAGACCAAGTTTGTGTTAAATATGCTTTAACAAGGTAATTATTTTAAATACTGCTCTCTTAATAAAAGCAGAAGCTTATTACCATTGGATTTGAATCTGCTATGAGATCCCGCAGAGAATCCAGAAATCCCTGATCTTCTACCATTTGGGCATTGATATCATGGAGTTTTGCCACACAGACTGCTGCTGTTTTCCGAACATAGGGGTCTTCATCCTTCAAGCACTTGCGGAGGGGCTCACAGAGATATTCTGTAATTTTGTCCACCCGGATGCATCCCATGGTTCTGACTGCCAAGGCCCGAATCAAAGGATTAGGATCTTCACAGTCCTACAGAAAACAACCATATGTACTACTGTAGGTGTGCATAGTGAGTAAACGTAAACAGTCCAGTTTACAAAAGCCACAAAATAATATTTCCTTAATTTAAGCTTCCAGTTACATTCTACATCAGACTCAATCTCCCATGTTATTCCTTTCCTAAGTACAAATCTTAGTTGCCTATTTAAAAGCTAGGGTAGGAATTCATTTAACTGCTTTATATATACAATGGGGAAAGGTTCAGTAGGATTCATTCAATGGCCAGGCAGAATCCTAGTGAGCTGGTATGACCATCCCCATAGCCATCAGTGGATGTGCCCTAAAACAGAAAAGGCCTTTGCACTAGTATTCTGGTCCAGAAAAAAATGAGGAATTGGAAAGACTGTGTTCCATTCCACAGTCAGTCTGTAAGGACCAAGTAGAGAGAAAAAGGGCTAGATTTCTGGGGCCTACAGCAAAGAAAACAAAGGCGAGCACAGGAGCTGGTTTGGGCCTGACATGAGTACCTGGAGCTAAGCAGCAGAGAGAGCCCTCTGAGCTCCTGACTAGCATATATTCTCCTTTGCTTCCACATACAGTACAAATAGAACACTGAGAAGGAACACTCTTTTAAACTGCTCTACATTTAAAAAAATTTCTTGAAACCATATAAATCTATGCACAGCTCTAAGTTTCAAAAAATGTAAACTAAATTCTTTCCAATGATACATTCCATCTATGAACTACCAGACAGGTAGAATGAATTGTTATGTTCTCTCTGACTCTGTATAATGTAGCTAACCAAAGGGAAAGAACAAAAAGTCCATGAAAAGGAAGAAAGCATACTGGTTATTTTCCAAAACATTTTAAACATAAGCTAATTTTAGAAATGCTATCTGATTTTTTTTTAATGTAGACTAAGTTCCAGACAGAGAAAAAAACAAGTAAAAAACAATTAATGGGAATAACTCCATTATTATGTTTATCAAATCTAAGGATAGGAAAAATCTGGCTGGACGTTCAATATTATTAAAGAAACTTTTTAATTGCCAATTTTTAGAGATGTGACAATGGTACTGTGGTTATGTTTAAATAAGATATCTTATTCTGAAAAACATAAGGATGAAATTATATGATGTTTAGGATTTGCTTCAAAATTATCCAGCAGGAGGAGGAGTGGGAGTCAGGAAAAGTATGCATGGGAGTATAAATTAAACAAGAGTGGCCATGTGTTAGTGCTGTTAAAACTGTAAGATGAATACTTAGGAATTTATTATGTTATTCCCTCTACTTGAATATGTTTAAAATTTTCCATAATAAAAAAATTTAATCAAATGTTGCAAGACCTATTAAACAACAAAAGTAGTACCTCCTGCAGCTTCCACTACTTTTGACTCATAAGCATAATTTCTACAAAGACAAAATAGGTAAAGTCTGAAGGTTACTGATATTACAATAATATGGACAACCTCTGTCAGCCTTGGAAGGTAAAACAGTGAGGTTTCACCTGGCTTCTGAGGTTTCTACCCACCTGGCAAGGATGCACCAAGCCCTGTTAACAGAAGGCAAACCATATGGTTCGAATTTCTCTGGATGATATGCACTGGCATACAGAATCCTTAACACATGAACATTCCTAGTCACTGCCAATATTTCCCTAGGTGTTCCTTTAGAACAGAGGTTACTTACTTGCAATACGGACGCTAACTGAAAAGGTTATTTGAAGTCTTGAGTCTTTGGGAAAAGTTACCTTCACAAAGCTGTTGACAGCCATGATGGCCATGTCTGGCTGACTCTTGGCATAGTTCATCAGGTAGAGATACACAAGCTTCTTTAGTTCCAGGTTGTCGGTCTGCATACAGTTCACCACATCTGGAAAGAGAGAACTGAGAAGAGAGGGGAAAAGAGAAAAGGAAATTAAGCAGATGCTGGTGTCAAGCTGTTGGACAGAACATGAAATGGCCTTAACAGAGTGATGTGATGCAAGGACAAATGTCCCCACACTGATAATTATTATCAGGGAAATGAATTACTAAAGAAATTGTAGTACTGGTCCTAAAAAGGTCTCTAGTTTTTGAAAACACTTGGTATTAGGAAAAATTTCAAACAGAGTGCAGTATAATTAACCCAATGTATGCCTCACACACAAATATCGATACACACCTAACCTTGTTTCATATATATCCTCAAACCCATTGCCCCATCACTGTCTCCACCCCATGCAGTTGCTCTGGATTATTTTTAAATAAATCCTAGCTGTCATACCATTTCATCTATAACATTTTAATATGTATCTTTAGCAATCTTTTAAAAAAATCACTACTTTTATCACACTAAATTCAGTAGAATTAATTTTTTTAACATTACACATTCAGATAAATGAAAATTTGAGAATAATCAAATATAAAAGGAGTTTATACCTTTCCCAAGTTCTAGTCATTTCATGATTTACCATTCTCCTATAAGCCACAAGAAAGACATTTTTGTTTCCAGTCACAAAGTAGCCCCACTAGCTTGGAAGGGTGGGCTTGTCAGATTCTAAAGGGTAAGCTGTATTTTTTAAATAGAGGTTAACTAAAATTTTATGGGAAGTTAGCAATTAATCTCCCTTAAGGCTTTATCAAAGTACCTTATAAATCTTTAATGCTTCTAAACATCTTACTACTGGCATAGAAGACAGGAGAAACAAATGTCAGTATATTTCTACAGAAAAGTAAGAGAATGACTAAAACAACTTGTCACAGGGTATAGGTCCCATACACACACAAAAACAGGGTACAGAAGTAGAAATTATTTACAAAAAGGAAGCTGGACTCCAAAGTCAAAGAAATCTACCACGTCTCTAATGAACAATGACTCTGTCCTAGGAGGCAAACTATTTGTTTAATTTGTATGTATGGTAACTAGTATAGTTTCATGAACAGGTAGATATTTTAATAAATACTCTCCAAAAATGAGAATAGTTCATGTGCAAAACAACAGTAAATAAATGTGAAATAACCGATGGTAAATTTAAGATCCTAAATAATTTAACTCTAAACAACCTGCACAAGATCAAGACTTTATAGCCAACATTCTAGAGGTAAAAACTGTTAAGTGCCAACCTATAAAACTAGAAACCTGAACTTTTCAATACAAAGGCCACTAGTCACATGTGGCTACTGAACACTTGCAATGTGGCTAATCTGTACTGAGATGTGATGTAAATGCAAAACACACATTAGATTTTGAAGACTTAGCATGAAAAATACAATGTAAAATATCTCATTAACAATGTTTATACTGATTACATGCTGAAATGATAATATTTTGGATATATTGGGTTAAAAAATTTATTACAAAAATTAGTTTCATGTTTCTTTTTCCTTTAATATGGTTACCAAAAAATTAAAAATTATATATGTGGCATGCACTGCATTTCTACTAGATATTACTGAACTTGAGGTTACTTCCAGGGAGGACTGAAATACAATAACCTCCAAATAGCTAATTTCTATTCTATTTCTTTGTGCCATCTTTCTAGGCACAGCTCATATGTCATCTCCTCCAAGAAGGGTTCTTCAACTATTCCTATTTGCATGGATCTCTTTTTGGTAGAACTCTTACTGTCTTTAACATATACACTTTAATATCTAATTACACAACTATATTTTATTTTTCCCTAATTTTTCAAGTTTTGAGTCTCATCAACTAGACAGTAAGTACCATGAAGGCTAATAGACATCTATTATACTTTTGTTTGAATCATGATAAGTGGTATGCTGCTAAGCATATAATAAATTATCAGCAACTAGCAGATTAACAAGCAGTATTTTACCAAGCATACAAAAGCAAAGTCAAGAGTTTTAACTTTTTCTGTAGGATACAGAAATAAGCTTGGCAAAAACACAACAGTCCCTGAAAAGTATGTCAACTTTTACCAGATCATTTGTACTGATGCTCTCAATGTAGATTTATTCCTTGGCAAAAACAGCCCTTCAGTGACTAGACAGATCATAGACAGGCAAATTACTACCTGTGGGCTAAATCAAGCCCCCTGCCAGAATTTTGTACAAGCTATAAGCTAAAAGCAGTTTTTAGAAATGAACATTTACAACTGATTTGATGATAAGAAACACTATGAACTCCAATTAAGCAAAATATTCTTCTTCTCCTCCAAAAAAAGAATGCACTCTTCTCATTAGACATGTAGTACAAAAGATTGTACTTAATTATTATTGTATTTTGTATTTCATCAACAAAAAATTTTGAGAAAATTTGTTTTCTCTCGTGTTATATGAGTACCTACACAATAGACTCAATTTTGCTTCTTTGCCTAAGTCTAAAGTATTTACTACTTTGCCCTTTACAGAAATAGTTTGCCGAACCCTGAGTTAGGTAGTCACGGAACAGCAATTTAAGAACCAAACAAACAAAACAACAATAACAAAAACTTACCTGAGAGCAACAGAGTAATTTCTGATGCTAACATTTCTATCTGGGCTCCCTGTTTGATTACGGGAGCAGCTCTCACTCTTTTGGTCTCAGGATCCATTTACACTCTTAAAAATTACTGAGATCCCAGAGACTTTTCACTCATGTTGGTTATACCTATTGATATTTTACCATAACAGGAATTAAAACTGAGAAATTTTGGCCAGGTATGGTGGCTCACACCTGTAATCCTAGCACTCTGGGAGGCTGAGGTGGGAGGATGGCTTGAGGCCAGGAGTTCAAGACCAGCCTGAGCAAGAGTGAGACCCTGTCTCTACCAAAAATAGAAAAAATTAGCAGGGCATGGTGGCACACATCTGTAGTCCCAGCTACTTTGGGAGGCTGAGGCAGGAGGATTGCCTGAGCCCAGGAGTTTGAGGTTGCTGTGAGCTA